GAAAAATACTGGCATAGAAATGGAACAAAATGACATTCAGCGCTATCGGAGAATGGGTATCAGAAAAAAAGTATGCGAGACACATGTCAGTTGACCAGCACTACAAAGAACTGGGATACTTATCACCTTTTAAGCACAGCTGTTTTATTGACAGCCCTACAGCTACAGGAGAGGCAGAAATGAGGAGTAAAGGACGAAATCCTGTAGTGTAAAGGAAGTGGGCTTTTTGTTTTGTTGAAGATCAAACGCAAAGACCCACATATCGTGGCAAAGTGCTCTATCAGAGTTGCATCCCAGCCCAAAGGGAGGTTTCTAAAACTCTTAATAGGCGATAAAATTAATCTATTGAATCCCCTATGAAATCAGAAGCAAGACAAAGTGCTAGTTGTTATTTATATTGCCCGTCTTGTTTATTCCAGAAATTCTAGAAAAATTCAAGTGAATAGTAAAAGGATGGAAATTCAAGCCACTGCCTCATCAGCCTCTTATTAATGTGCACTAATCATCAACTATTTTATCTCGATTTTTAAGCAATCCATACCAAGCTCCAACACTGAAAGAGTCACACTAAATCAGACAACAAAAATCTCTTAAATAACCTCACTTTGCCTCCAACAGATCTGCTACTAAAACTATCAAGTTAGTACTCTTCTTCACAACCAGGATAAACTCAACTTTGCCTTGCCATCAGATTATTTTTGTGGTATTTTTGAGGATTTGCATTCAGTAGTATTCTGAACGTCTTTTCCTTTTCTAACAGCCCCTTTAAGATACTGGGGTAGATCAGATCTAAGCCCCATTTTATACTTAAGAAAATTAACGTTCAGGAGCTTAGTAATATGCCAAGTCAAAGATCAGGGAGAGTGGAAGAATTTGATAATATACAGGAAAATAGGCTGAGAAGCAAAAGTGTGTGTGTGTGTGTGTGTGTGTGTGTGTGTGCGTGTGCTTGTTGTGCTGGAAATGGGGTCCATAACCTCAAGAATGCTAGTAAGAACCCTAAGACTGAGCTACAACCCCAGCCCACTGAAGTAAAAATTCACTAATTCTGAGTTCTTAGAAGTCAGCTGGTTCAGACAGGGTAGTAAATGATCTTGACCACCAAGGGAGACAGATGAGAACAGAACAGAAAATAAATCCAGGTCTACATTGCCTTCAGGAGTGTATTTACGGATGAAAGAATCTTTAAATTGCAAAGATCACACACAATGAGTAATGAGGTTAGAAAGACCTGACAACTGAAGAAAGAGAATTAAAGAATCAGAATAGAATGATCCCTATTCTCACCACCCCCCAGAAGCAAAGAAAGCTGAAATGGTTAAGAGGCCTTGGATTCAATTTCCATTAACACAATAAAAAGTAGCACATATTAGAGCTGTAAAGTTTACCATGTCACCAATTAGGAAACAACTCCTTGAAGAGTAACAGAAAAATCTGCATGGATGAAAAAGTCCAGTCGCAGTAGTGTACAACACTAAGAAGACTTACTAGATGATTTTCTAGTGAGGTACTATACATAGGCATATCAAAATTACATGTTTCCACATGGCAGAAGAATTATGGAATAAAGATCCTAAGGAAAGGCACATCAAAAGTGAGACTTGATCATAAAGTCTTTTCCTATACCAATGTCTTCCAGAGTTCTGCCTAACTTATGAACAAATCCTCAGTAGCACGGGAACTAGCAGATAGAATCAACAACTGGGATCTCATCTTACTAAAAAGCTTCTGTACTTCAAAAGAAACCATTAGCAGAACTAAGAGACAATCTACAATGTGGGAAAAAATTTTTACCAGCTGTTCCTCAGACAAAGGACTATTATCAAGGATATATAAAGAACTCAAAACAATCAGTCCCCCCAAATATAAAGATCCGCTTCAAAAATGGGCATCTGAAATGAACAGACATTTCTCAGACAAAGAAGTAAAAGCAGCAAGAAAATATTTGAAAAAATGTTCCACATCACTGGTCATTCGAGAGATGCAGATGAAAACAACACTGAGATTCCACCTCACCCCACAAAGAATGGCTGCTATCAAGAAATCACACAATAACAAATGTTGGCGGGGTTGTGGGGAGAAAGGAACCCTCCTCCATTGTTGGTGGGAGTGCAGACTAGTGCAACCACTATGGAAATCAATATGGAGATACCTCAAAGAGCTTGGACTGGAGGTTCCATTTGACCCAGCCATCCCTCTGCTGGGTATCTTTCCAAGAGAACTAAAAGAATCATATCACAGAGAAGTATGTGCACCCATGTTTATAGCGGCACAGTTTGTAATAGCTAAATCTTGGAAACAACCTATTTGCCCATCCGTTGGAAACTGGATAAAGAAGTTGTGGTTTTTCTATAAAATGGAATATTACTCAGCCATAAAGAGCGAGAGAATAGATTCATTCATAGGAAAATGGATACATATTGAAGATATACTCCTAAGTGAAATAAATAAGTCACACATGTGTAAATACCAAATAGTTTCCCTGATATGAATAATCTGCAACAATGCATAAGATTCTAATAAGATTACTGACATTTAGAAATGGGAAGAAAGGAGCTAAAGGTGTAGGGAAGGTGTGATGGGTAGGGGAAGAACAAAAAGGGAAAACAAAAAAATGTGAGAGAATGAAAAGATGAAAATAAAGTATTTGTAGATGGGGAGGGGAGGAGGGGGTGAAGGGAGGGCAGAGGTAAGGGGAAAAAATGAGAATTAAGACTTGCCATGTAGAGCTACATGATCCCAACAATGAATGTAACTGTACTGTATCCCTAAAATGTACCAATAAACTCAATAAAATTAAAAAAAAAGTGAGACTTGATAAAGAGGAGCCCAAAACAAAGCCAGAGAAAACCAAAGCTTGGAACAAATTTTAGATAGCTCGATGGTATTTATGGAAAAGACACAGGATTTAGTTGAAGAATGAATGCTTATGATAGACATAAAACACATCATTTCAGAAGTGTCATTACAGTGAGACCACAAACAAGATTATGTTCAGGATAAGAAATATATGGGCCATAAAAACAAGGGAAATCAGAGGAAGAAAAAAAACAGACCCTGAAACCTAGCCCAACATAAGAAATTGACAGATTTGTCTTAGTCACTTACCTGTCCGCAATAGAATACCTGACACCTGAAATTGAAAGGAAGAGTGGTTTATTTTGGCTCACAGTTTAAATGGGTCCATCCCATGGTAAGCCAGCTCAAACGCAGTAAGGGCCTGACCAAGGAAAGCTGCTCCTATCATGACAGGAAGTAGACAGAAGGGAGGAGACAAGAATACACCCTTCTAGGTCACACACCCTAGTGACCTATCTCTAAAGGATGCATTCACCAATGTGTACAGATCCCTATGATCCAATCACTTTCCACACACATGAAAATTCTGGGGGATATTTTAGACCTAAGCCATAACATCCACATAAGTAGTTTAAACTTAGATATTCACCTGCCCTTCTGAAAATCAAATTGAGACCACCAGAGAACATGAAATTTTACAGGCAGCAATCATAACTGCTGTTGATGAAGGTGCATCAGAAAGGTTATGTGTGGAATATGGACAGCCGAAGGAAAACTTTCCTATGGAATGTGTTAGAAAACATCACCCTCAGACAGCAACTTATCTGTACAAGTTTGTGCCAAATAACTGCAAACAAATGAGAATTTGAGATGTCACCTATTTACAAGAGTTGTGTTTCACAGGCTCAAGAAAAATTCACTATTGAGACAGGGCTACAAAACTGTACAATTTCAGAAGTACAGAATTTCCAGAGAAACAAAATGAAGGGCTACTTCCCAAATCATCAATTCCTCAACTTTGCAAGAAGGCAATACTTTCTCATATACTCAAATAGGCATTAGTAGCTGCTTTTCCTTTACACTTATTTAGAGTGTCATATTAATAACCCTTATTTCTCTACAATTTTTAGATGCTTTGCTCACATTTTTGTTTTGAGTAATTAGACAATTCAATCTAATTTCAAACGCAACTTTCCACTGAGTAGGTATTTAAAAAGAAATGAATCAAGCAGACCAAATAATTCGTAAAAGTAAAAGGTCCTCAGCTGCTGATCCCCTTATTAATGGGCTGACTATAAATTGTCCCCAAACTATTGCCCCTTGCACTCCTTTCTGTATTGCCCAATTGCACTGGTCTTCTGTGAATTCGTGAATCCTACTTGTGCCACTGGTTCACTACCACTGCTAAGCATGTAGGACTTTGAGCTATCAATTTCCAAGCTGAGAAACTACCAAGAAATTAATATTGAAAATATTTGTAGTGGAGCCCAAATCTCCTTCCTGCATTTTGATGAGTAAAATATTTTTCAGGGATAAAAAATATTATTCTCAGGCCTCAGATAATAAGAAAGACAATGATAAATACTACTTTACCATCCTTTCCTCATATATCTCGTTTACTCAGTCTTTCTGTCACTTGAATAACAGACCAAGAAGGATCATAAGCATTAAGTGTATGGAGTTACCAGCTCTTGCCTAAGAGTTTAAAAAATGGACTACATATCGGTGAGATACATATTCAAATAAAACATTTACAACAATTGACGCTTCTCAACCCATGACTGCCATGAAGAGAACTAAAATTTAAGGTTTCCTCTGATGTCTTCTCTTACTTAAAAATCTTTTTTAGGCATTGTTATTAGCTGAAGCAAACTACAAATCAGACAGTGTGATGACACACTCAAGTTTTAAAAATTAAGTGGCATCACTTTTAATCTCTGAAAGCCTGTGTTCTAAAGCTAAAACCTGCAAGAAGAGGTTGTGTAGAATGTCAAAGCCCTATCTATCTACCTATCATCTATCCATCCATCCACCCATCCATCCATCATCTTCCCTACCACATTGGCCGGCTACATCTTAGGCATATAATTCAAGTCCTCTAAGCCTGTGATGTCCAATGTGATGCCTGTCTAGCTCAAGAAGATTTTAGAACACAGTGGAGTAAGAAAGAGAAAGGTCAGGAAACAATATCTTGAACTTACAATGCCTGTAGACATCTTTCAGCCCAAAGGCCTTTGTTCTCCAGTTTACCTTATCCTCATCATCAGGAGAAGCTCTCCAGTCTCTGCTCACAGAACTCGCCCACCTCTACCACGTGGGTCCCTGAAGGAAGGGGACCATTTCCTATGTCATTCCATTTCTCTTTATCCCTCTTCACCGAGAATCCAAACTCTGTATGTAGTTCTTTCGTCGGAAGGACAGACAAAACAAGTGCAAAGAAAACTGCATCTTAACTCATTTTATCAGTCTCATAATTTTCTGGGCCATTTCCAGCACCAATCTTTTTCTCTACAATTGCAAATTGGTATCATTTCTAGATAAATATGGTAAGAAATGTGGTAACATTAGAAGACTGCGGGACTCCCGGTCCTGTGAGAAAATCTCCTGGAACAATTTGATTCTTTAAACTCTGCCTGGGCAGAAAATAGATAGGAATAAATATATGACACAAGCTTCCATCTCCTGACTGGTTTGCACACCCAATGAGTCATTAGCTAACCTCTACTCTGAAGGGCCCTGAACAGGACTACAGGGAACGCATATACAATCAGTGACCAAGGGTCAGTCTTTTCTGCATCTCTTCTGATGCATTAGAACACCATGCAAAATAGGAGTTCCAACATAGCCTCCATGTGCTATGTATAGTTTACTATGAAATGAGGCAGTAAGCCAACATATTGTTATAGAGTCCAGATTTTATGAAATATTTTATTCCTTGAATCTGCTAAGAAATGGTAAAACAAAATGGCAAGAAAAAGAGAAATGGGTTTTCAGAGTAAGGGCAGTATTTATGTCATTAAAATGTACAACATTATCTTCCACTTTGGGTATCTATCTATATAAAAACAATCCAGCCAAGTCACCAAGAAGCAACATTTAGACATTAGATAGAATTGATTCCTAGACGCAAAGTTCAAGGTAAAGAGGATATGGCAAGGAGCAGACTCGTTAAAAAAAAAGTCAGTACCAGCTCCTTCAGAATACCAATAAACATCAGTTCAGTAAAAGCATTTTTTGTGAAATTTCAGACATCTCCAACCTAACCACATGTACAAACAGATGACAGATTTGTATGGAACAGCTAAAAATGAAAGGAGTGCCAATAGGCAAGTGGAAAGTATTTTTTGCATAATAGAGGAATCAAAATTTTCAATGGGGTGAAGTACACTAAAGATCTCTCCTGATACTGGTTTAGGGGGTTTCTTGATGGCTTGGCTTAACTCAGACAGCTTCTTTACATACGTATTTCAAATAAACAAGCACCTCTCACAGCCAAGACTTTTTTCTTTTGTGGGGCTGGAGATCAAACCCAGGGCTTTCATGTTCTCTGCCACTGAGCTAGTTCCTTGGCCAACAACCAAGACTTTTAACTAGCTCCAATTAACACTCATAAACTGTGAATATCTTCACCTACAGCCATTTTGTTTTTTGAATCAAAAACTGTATATATTGAAATGCTTCTCTTTTATGACTCTCATGTATTCTTACCTGTCAAGAATCTTGAGAAAGGAAGGCACTTAGCAGCCCAGGCACAAACGATGAAATAGGACCTGTTGGGAAGAGACCAAATTTAGAAAAAAATGGTACTCTGAGCAGCAAGCCACATATCCCCTCACACACTGTAAACACTCGTCACTACGGTACTATCTTTCCACCATGTTTCCAGCTGTAATCTCTTGTCCTATATCCTCTCCAGTGAAGCCCTTGCCCAGCCATCTATCACTGTATGAATGGAAGGACCTAAACTAGGAAAGAAGAGCCTCTACTCTCGACTTCGAGCATAAAGCTCAAAGGTCTGCCTTTGGGGAATTTATGGGCCATGAGCCTTGTCCAAGGTACTCCTAGCTACCCAGAATCCTCAGGCAGGATTCCACTAGAGTGGCCTGGAGATTCTGCTTGACTCAGCCATGGGGCAGCAGTCTCATCAGCTCCTTCTAGCCCTTGGGCACAATTTCTTAAATTATGTGTCTGCACAAACACAAAGCAGTGTTTTTGTCCCTTTTGATGCCTCAACTACACCTGCTCTGCTAGGAGGCAAAGTTTGCTCCTAGAAGTGATGCCAGACACTAGCAATGCAATGTGAACAGGACACAGAAAGCCTCTTTCTCACACACATTTGCATCCCCATAGGCAGATCTACAATCTACTCTGCATCAAGCTGTACAAACTGTAACTGTCCCTGTAAGGTTCATTGTCTTTTTACTACTTCTAAATAAGCTGTTACTGAAGCGACCCAATCTGCATGAATAATACAACTTTTTAAATGCTATACCATCTGCTTTTCAGAGCATTAGGTTTTAACAAACATTTAGAAACTTGCAAATAAATTCACTGAATTATTACACCTTTCTGAGGTGATCACATACTACTAGAGCTTGAAAACACAAACTGAAGTCAGATACTTCAATGCCAAAGAACAGACTTACTTACAAAAAACTCATTACAAGTCTCATCAGAAACAATATGGCCATTTTTATAGACTAGCAGTGGTTATGACTCTGTATAGTTGGATTTTTGAGAGATTTTAATACAGTGTCAGAACTGAATCACATCGGCTGATACTGCCCAGCTCTTCCTAAGTTTGCATCCAGCGGTGTTAACATTAGTAGCTTGAAACTGCTCAAAAGGGAAGTATTTACACCTGAGAAACTGGCAAATTCTACATATCAGATTTTTTTCCTCTTATGGAGACCTAGTTGTTAAAAATCTTACCACTTTTTATGGTCTCTAGACTTTGTGAGCACACAATACAAGTATAATTGGCCGTTACTTTTAAAGAAAAAATCAAGCCGTCAACCTTTTTATGAATTGTGTTTTTTCAGGAAGTACTGTGCTAAGAAAAACAAAACCCTTTTGTCCTTTATAAAAGATCCATTATGCAGATAGGCTTACCCTAATATTTCCATGCAATCCAATATCTCTACTAAGACATAAACAAGAATTATAAAACACATTTAATCTAAACATAAGTTCTAGGAGAAAAAAAATCACACTGATAATTATGGCAAATTAAAATTCCAAATAATTACTAACCAGTCACAGAGGAGATCCCAGATGAGATGAAGGGCTAATGATGGAACTCCTTTGGAAACAAGATGCCAGGCTCTACTTTAAATTTTGAAGAAGGTCACTTTCACTTTTCCCGGGTTTTTGAATTCTAAGGAAGATGTACTCAGAGATTAAGATTTCAAGATTTTGCTCCTCGCTCTGTTTTATAAATGTCAGTAGTTTTTTAAAAAACATTCAATAGAGTCAGGGATTTACCTCAGTGGCACCGTGCCTGCCTCACAAGCGCGAGGTCCTGAGTTCAATCTCTGGTACCAGAGGGAAACAAATAGATTAATAAAAAAACACCCAATAAACTATTCATTTATCTTCCCCAAACTCCCCCAATGAAGAGGACCAAGATGAACTATGAAAAGCAGTAGGTCCATATGCATCCAAAAGGAAGAAGCATCACAGCTCTAGCTAAGTTTTCTATCTTTTTCAGAACCTAAAAAATTTAAATTCACCATCAGACCACTGAATGAGGGAACTTGCTGGCTCTGCTCCATTGATTAATTTGGGGTAAAGCTTTTTCTGAATACCTCTGGCCTCAGTTTTCTACTCGATGAGAAATGCCAATGACCTCCACCTTCCAAGGTTTAGAGCAATTTAACCAATTATAGGATAAATTCAATGGCTTTGAAATGTCAATGTGTTCTATGCATTTCTAATTTTAAAATATGGATGATTTTTTTTTTACCTTGGCTGGGTGAACTTTAGGTTAAATAATGCTATCAGTAGGTAAGAAGAACCAGAGGCGTCAACTGAGACTAAAGGTTAAAATTCTCTGAGAAAAATCTTTGGTTACTGCATATTCATATTTAGCATTTCTCACATTTTCAAATGTCTTTACCTAATCTTCAATGAACTAATAACAGCGCAGAAGTGAGTTTTTATAGTTATGGAAAACAAGAGTTTTAGGACTGCTAGTTCACAGCAGGCACCCACCAGCAAAGTCCTGCTGGGTGCTGGGACAGTCCAGCCTCTAGGGAGGTGTCCAAGTAGGCCCAAAGAAGACTCTGCTCAGGGCAAGGAACCATGTGAGTTCCTCAGCCGCCTCTTGCTTCACAGCAAGAATACAGAGTTGGGGGCCAGGAATTTAGCTCAGTGGAGATCCTGAGTTTGATCCCCAGTGCCCAAACAAATATACAAAAGACTAAGAATAGAGTTGGGATTTCCAAATAGCAGTCAAAGCAACCTGTAAGGAATGAGCTATACCTGAGACAGGAAAGAAAAGTAAGGGAGAGGGGCAGAGTACAAGGCTAAACCAAATACTCTAATGTCTTGTTCAAGTACATGCATTCAGAAAATGAGGGAGGACCACTTCCAGAGTATGTGTTGGGTACTGGGTGAAGACCAAAGATTGTTTCATTTCATTCTCACAACATCTCTGATAACAAAATATGACTTCCATTTTACAGATTAGGAAAACTGAGGTTCAAAGATTCCATTAAGACCTAAGGGTAGACAGTTACCTTGATTGAAGATAGAACTGAAAAGGAAGTGAAAAGAGGTACTTTGGGGGGGTTCTTTAAGACAGGGTCTCTTATGTAGTTCAGACTGGCCTTGAACCCACTACGTAACCTGAGCTGGCCTCAAACTCAGTGACCCTCCTGCCTCAACCTCCTGAGTGCTGGAATCACAGGTATGAGAGTTAGAGCTATATACAGCATTTACTCTACAGATGTTATACAATAAGTACAACTCATAAGGTTAATTGTTTAAAGGCTGCAGGGTAAGACCACATTCCACAACATACACTATAGGGGACAACAACTCCTGTTAGAAAATCACCTACTCTGAGACTTGGTATTCCCATATACTGAAAACTTCAATCCCAAATTCATTTGAAATTTTATCACTCATCAGAAAGGAGGCCTGACCCAGTTATATCTGTATATCTGATTAGAAAATTGACAGTTAACAAAGTAAAATGCAGTTCACACACAAGTCCTTTATACATTTGAAAAAAAAGAGATATCAAAGAGCAATCTGAGGGAAATACCAAAATCCAGGACAGCTTACCAATCAAGTCGTACTGTTTGATTGCTGTATAGACCGGAGACTCTGATCTGAGCAGGGACAAGAGAGAACATATATTATAAAGCGCATTCAGTGTATAATATCACTTGATAGTAGCTTTTTGTCACTTTTTGTCATGAGCAATTTGCCCAAATCTATGTTTCATTTATCTCTCCGTATTTCTTTTATTTTGTTTCGTTTTGTTTTTTGTTTTGGTACCGGGGATCGAACTCGAGACCTTGCACTTCTCTGTGGAACCACTGAGCTAAATCCCCAGCCCTTTCTCCGTATTTCTTTTATATAAAACAGGAAACACAAGAGCCTGGGAACCTTAGTATGCAAAACTCAAATCCTTGTCCCCAGATTCCCATGCCCGAATCCACTGAAAATTTCAGCAGTGCCACAAAATAGAAAAATAATTAGGCAGGAGTGGGGGCGGTTGGTTTTAAACTCAGTGGTGCCGCCACCTGTCTCAAAAACGCAAGGTCCTGAGTTCTATCCGCGGTATGAAGAAAAAAAAAAAAAAGCTCAGTGGTTTCCTACATTCCTACATTTAGTGGTCAGAATTGGGAGAGGATAGCTAGTAAGTAGTGTTTTGCTTTGGCGTAACAAAAACGATCTAAATCTGATTGTGGTCACGGTTGTACAACTCTGTCAATATGCTAATACTACTGACTCATACACTTTATGTTTGTAAATTGTACAGTATGCAATTTTAGTTCAATCAAGTTATTTAAAAATAAACGAATTCTCTTCACATTCTTATACCTGAAACAAAAGCACCTGAGCGGCTCTATCACGCCCGCGCCTCTCCTCAAGTCTGTTTGCTCCAATCCAGTCCAGCCAATACTTCCACTGTCAGCTACTGGCTTTCCTAAATTATAAAGATAAATATTTGGTGTTAAAAAGTCAAAGTTAGGGCTGGGGATTTAGCTCAATGGTGCCAGGACCATTTGCCAGGCACAAGATCCTGAGTGTGAACCCTGGTATCGGAAAAAAAAAGAAAACATCCTGCTTTACTCAGAGGGGGATTCTTATATATGTTAGCTCTCAGTGATGCCCCTTCCTTTCTTTCCTTCTTTCTCCCTCTCTCCCTCCCCCACTCCCTCTCTCTCTTTTTGGTACCGGGAATCGAACTCCTGAGTTTGTGCTTGTGAGGCAGGCGCAGGGCCACTGAGCTAAATCCCCGCCCCCTTACTTTCTATAAGAAGTCTGTCAAAGAACTCTTGTTTATTTTGTTCAAGACTGATGCAAAACTCATGCAGGATTATCAACGATGGCCTTGGAAAAAGGAAGGCTGTTGTTCCCCATATTACACAAGATCAACTGAGTGTACGTTAGTGTCAGAGATCATCAGTGTAAATTAGAAAAGTACAGAGGCTGCAGATTTAGCTCAGCGGTACCGCTCCTGCCTGACAAGAGCAAGGTCCTGAGTTCGATTTCCACTACCAAAAAAAAAAAAAAAAGCACAGACATCAAGAAACTAATTATTTCAGATCATTTCATGAATCATAAAAACCATTAACGCAGGGGATTTAGCTCAGTGGTTCCTCCACTTGCCTTGCAAGCACAAGGTCCCGAGTTCGATTCCCAGTACCAAAAAAAAATTTTAAATAAAAATTTAAAAAACCATCAATGCCGGGGATTTAGCTCAGCCGTTTCACCACCTGCCTTGAAAGCACACGGTCCCGAGTTCTATCCCCATACCAAAGGAAAAAAAAAAAAAGAAAAAAAGCAATATTAATTAATGATATTCTTAGATACGAATGCAGATCTTCAGGGAAACTGACAGAAAAAAATCATATAGTTGCTGATAATGACTTTTGTGGACGCCCTCTTTGGAAAAATATCCCCTTCTTTTATAAATTCTATAGGCAAAGTGGAGCCAGAACTGACGCTTGGACCTAAATTCCAGCCAGAAATCGTTCAAGGTCTAGGGCTCCGCTTGAAAAGTCAGAATTTGTGCGGTTCATGATCCAATTCCTAAAATCTTGGCACTTCATAGCTTTCAGTCCTATCAACAGCTGATATTTCTGATTTAATCTAAGAGGATAATTCTTTGGGGGGGGGTACTGGGGATCAAACTCAGAACCTTGCGTTTGCAAGGCAGGCGCAGTGCCACTGAGCTAAATTCCCGGCCCCCAAGAGGAAATATTTGAAGAACAAACTAATGCCCCACCAACAAAGACGTCAACAAATCTAGATGATAAACTATAAATAATTCAAGTCCAACTCAACAATAAATTTTTTAAAGGCCGGAGATTTATCTCAGTGGTGCTGCCACCTGCCTCGCAAGCACAAAGGCCCGAGTTCGATCCCCGGTACCAATAAATAAATAAATAAAAATTTTAAAAGACTACTAAGGAAATCCAAACAGCATCATTTAAAAAGAGAAGCATTCTTATTTTGCCTCCAAAGCAGACTCACTCAGGTTCCTCTACATTAGCAATGTCCCATGGTTTCCGTGATCAAGCTTTCCACTTGACCACCACGCTCCTAGAAAACACACGTGATCTCGCAGACCTCGTGCTGCCAATTTAAAACGGCCGTTGTAAACTGGGCGTGGTTACCAGGGAGTGGAGTGGCGTGGCGCGTGGGCCCGCAACCCACCCCCACACGGAGGCGGGAAGATCACCCACGTTTACCAATTTGAATTCCAATGGCCTTCCACTGCCAGAAAGCACCGAGCACTCAGTTATACAGTTCATTTCTTTTTCTGTATATGGAAATGTGCCTCAGTTTTCAAAAGTATCATATGCAAAAGACTAGGAGCAGGACTGAACAACACCATGCTCAACACTCAACTGTTGTGAAGACTTTTTTTTTCTTTTGAGACAGGGTCTTGCTATATAGTTCAGGCCGACCTTAAACATGGTGATCCTCCTGCCTCAGCCAACAGAGTGCTGGAATTACAGGAGTGCACCACCATGTTTCGCCCCTAAAAGGTTTTCTGTAGTAGCTGGTGATGATTGGCAATATTAAAGCACTCACTGCCCTTAAACAAGTGTGTTCAGCTAGACAATGTGGGGTTTTTAACACTGAAAATATCACAATGCCTTATTTCAATTAGAAAATTTTTCCTTATTTGTGAAGTGAATGTAACACAGAACTTCTTTTACATGAAGTTTATACACTGGCCCTCAACCACCGTTTCTCTGGGAAGTAAAATCCCAAAACTCTGTTAAACAGCTGACAACAAGACACATTCACATAATTAAATTTTGCATTTTTAAATTAATAATTTTCTGAAATGATTTCATTTAGGGAACTTTATGTAGGAGCCAGGTGAGGATTTAGACCTTAAAATCATATGGCCAGGAATAGTGAAATACACCTGTAATCCCAACACTCTGGGATGCTGAGTGCCACAGACTCATGAGTTAGAGCCCAGTCTGGGCAATTTAGCTAGGCCGTTTTTCAAAAGAAATTTTTAAAAACAAAAAGGGAAGTAGTTTAGTGCAAAAGCTCTGTGTTTAATCCCTAATATTTTAATATGTATATTTGCAATTATAAAGTGAAATGCACTGTTAATGTTTTCTTCTGCAAATTGAAATTGACACAAAAACGTTCCATTAAAACCCCATGAAATGAGCCGGGGATTTAGCTCAGCGGTGAAGCGACCGCTTCACAAACGCAATAGTCCTGAGTTCGATCCCGGTACCAACCTCCCAAAAAACAAAAAACCCGTGAAATCACCAACACCAAAATTTAACAATGCAGAGAGAATGAGTACAAAACTGTTTTGTAAAATGAAATGCCAAACTGTATGTAACATTGGTTCAAAAGAGGCTTAGCAGCAACCACGGTGTTAAGTACAAATGAGACCAAACTTTTAAAGGCAGATTCACAAAAAGCGTGTAAGACTGTTGGACATAATGACACATGCCTGTAATGCCAGAACTCTAGGAGGCTGAAGCAAAGGGACTGCAAATTCAAGCCCATCCTGGGCAATTCAGTGATTTAGAGAGGCAGTCTCAAAGCAGAAAAAAGAAAAAAAAAAAGGACGACGATGTAGCTCTGAGCAAAGGCCCTGGTTTTAACCCCCATTAAAGGGGGTTACAGGGACTGGGAACGGGGCGAGGGGCACCAGGACCATGTTTGGTTGAATAAAACAGAAAGAACTGTATTAACTCGAAAAAGCCTGAAGATAACGGAAGGTTATGTAAAGTCACTGGGTAACTCCCACAGGAGCAGCAGGCATTTAAAGGAGCCTAGCTTTCCCCACGGAAGTCATTTCCTTATTGCTCAATCCCTTCCACCAAAGAACCCGCGGTCTCTGCACCGCCCTGAGTTCCCACCCCTTCACCCCTTCACCCCACACCCCACGCACCCCCCACATCGCCCGCTTTATTTTTTTTTTCCTTTGCAGACAAAATGCTACACTGCAGAGGCTGGACTTGAACATTGTATTATAGGGCTTCAACCTCCCACAGTGCCTGGCCCATTTTCAAGTTCAAAATACCAAAAAATAAACCTTTTAAGTTAGTACATGAGAGGATTCGCGCCCAAATCTAACCGCACAAATATTTAAAAAGGCATAAAGTCCACAAAACTTCACTTAAAGGCAGCTAAGCAACACTTAACCGTTCTAATCCTTTCATGATCCTCCTGCGTGAATTTTCTCCACTCCAAATCGAAAATAGAAGAGGTGACGAGCACAACATTTACACAAGTACACAGCGATAACCATCACAAAAATAAAAGCCAAAAGCGGTTCCCTGGCAGCCACTGTACCATCCGTAGTCCGTGCACCTGCTCAACAGCACCACGCATTTCATTTTTCAGTCTCAAACCCCACAAAACCGTACAATCATACAAGAGAGGGGACCGAAACCAGCATTTAGACAAATAAAATGTAAAAGAAAAAAATTGGGAAAAAAATCATAAAAGACTCATCAAGTTTTAACATAAAAGTAAGGTGGCTGCTCTGGCGTATGCCTGTAATCCCAACACTGGGAGACTGAGGTGTGGCAAACACAAGTATGAGCCCAGCCAGGTCAATTTAGCAACTTATCAAAATCCTGTGCCAAAATTAAAGAAAAAAAAAGACAAAAGAGAGCAGGTGGGGACCGTAGCTCAATATGGAGGCCCTGAGTTTAACCCCCCACATGCTTAAAAATAAAAATTTTTTAAATCTTTAAAAAGGGCTACGTACGTCGCTCTGTGTCACGGCCCTGCGTTCAACTCCGCGATGCAGGAAAACAAAACAAAACGGGACAAAACCGAACCAAAAAAGCAGGACTGTATGACCAAATTTGACTAAGGAACTGAGATCGTCCTAAATCTGAAGCATTCCAGACTACTATGGATTATATTATAAAATTGTAAAAACACACTATTTGGGGCTGGGAATGTAGCTCAGTGGCACAGCGTTTGTCCGGCAAGCCACGAGGCCCTGAGTTTGATTCCCGGTACTACAACGCACACACACACACACACACACAAAAATATCATAGGGCCAGAGATTTAGCTCAGTGGCTCCAGAGCCTGCCTCACATGCATAAGGATCCGAGTATGATCCCCAGTACCAAAAAATAAATAAGTAAAAAATTTTTAAAATCGTAGTTTATATCACCATCTTAAAAAATCACAGTACAGGGCCAGGGATTTAGCTCAGCGGTTCGGTGTCCTGCCTTGCAAGCGCAAGGACCTGAGTTCAATCCCCGGTACCAAAAAAAACAAAAAACAACAAAAAAAATCACATTAGAATTACAATATGAAAGTAAATTGACCTTACCATGCTTTGTAGAAGAAGCCGCTAAGTTCCTGCAGACCGAAGGACTCACCACCGCACTCCCACCTTGCAAGCCAGAACAAAATGGGAGCCCGTGCGAGAAATCAAGCTCCTTTATATACAGCCTATGGCACCACCTTCAGCAACTCCGACTGGTTGTGGCTGAAATGATTGACAAAAACAGAATCGACTCCTACTTTCTCTATAACTGGTAGATCCACCCATATCCCAGATATTGCTCATAATTGGTTGGAAGGATTGGCGCCTAAAGTTTTTGGGTTTTCCCAGGCGTTATGATGAGCACAGAACAAACTACTACAGAGTAACACACCACACTCCCTAATTGGTCCCACAAATGAGTTCAAACTGCTGAGCGCGCTCTGAAGGTTTTTGCATGTCATTATGTTCACCTGGAATATTCTTTCCCGCTATTTCTGCCCTTAGCACCAGACACAAGCCAGATAACCGATTTGTCTTGGGAAGAGAATTAACACGTTCTGCAGCCAGCTTGAGCCGCTGGTAGTTCATGCATGACTGTCCCATCCACAGTGTCCGGGGGCACCGGACATTCCTATCGGGTGGTACAAGCTGCCCGATGGGAGTCACGCAGGCACCACGGCTGGTTGAGAGCCGCCCAGTAGTAAGACACATGTATTACAGCTCGCACCGTGACTGTGTTAAACGACCCCCCACAAGATCTATGTCTGGGGAAGGAGCATGTAGGAGATGTTATGGCAGGAGTTTTGTAAGGAAAAATGAGCTTAAAAGTAGCTCTCCTAGCCGGGTGTGGTGGCGCTTGCCTGTAATCCCAACACTCAGGAGGCTAAATCAGGAGGATCGCCAGAGTTCGAGGCCAGGCTGGGCTACTTCCTGAATTACAAAAAGAGACCCTGCCTCAAAAATAAATCAAAAATAATGGGCAGGGGATTTAGCTCAGTGACTCGGCACCTGCCTCTCAAGGTCATGAGTTCGAGCCCCCATAACAAAAAGCAGCTCTCCCAACAGCTGCATATATGTCTTGCAACCATTGAAGGTCGATGCAGAAAATGTGCAGAGTACAGGGTAGTTAAAAGTTTCTATGGGTGGGTTGTGGCTGAAGACGGAGGAAAGGGGTCTTAACTCAGAAACCAGGCATAGTGTCATACGCCTGTAAGGGTAGCACTCTGGAAGGCTGAGGTGGAAGCAGCACAAGTTCGAGCCTAGCCTGAGCACTTTCATTAAGACTATCTCAAAATAAATAAAAAGATGGGCTTTGCAAAGGACTTAGGTTCAATTTCCTGTAACCCCAAGTGGGGAAAAATCTCAAAGCTGGCCTGAGGAAAGTTTGACCCATGACTCTCCAGAATTGATGTCTGTGTTTTAGGTCTCTCTACTAGAGCATTCGTGCCCTTTGTGTAGTTGATTCTTATGACTATGTCCTTCTCCTCCATGTCTGCACATCCATCGCACCCCAAGGACCGGCTTCTGCTGTGGTGCACTTGATCTTTCCGTCTCCAACAGATGGGGCTCTCTGGTGGAGGATGGGAGGCAACAATAAAGTTGTGGTAAGGGGAGTACTGGGGACACAGGGGTGGATCAGCCCTGGGCTAGACAAGAAGGGGAGGCCTGATTGATCCTTGGGGATTTGCACTTGCATCGAGGTTGCAGAAATTCTGCAAAGTCCGGAAGAAACAAGCAACCAATAACCCATACGTTTCCTCCTCATGTGCCAGAGCAGTTTAGATGTTTAAAAACAATAAGTCAAAACTTGATTACAGAATAATGCAAGCAGTCCTCTGGATCGGTCAGAGCCAGCAATTCAGCCTAAAGCACAACAAAATTTTAAGATGTGTTGGAAGAAACTATCAAGGCAAGAAACTGGAGGGTGGAGAGAATGAGATAAGGCAAATGAATTAGAGAAGCACATTTGTGCAGTTAGGGAATGCGGAGGAGTTAGTATGATCCACTCATTTCTGTTCTTTCTACTTAACTCTTCAGAGGCCTTCCAATTAAGAGAACACCAAAGAATTACAGATCTAGGGCCTGGGATTTAACTCAGTGGTGCTGTGCCGGCCTTGCTAAGTACAAGGTCCAGATTTCGATCTCCAGTACCAAAATAAAAAAATAAAATTGTAGATCCTCATTCCAGTGGAGGCTTATTGGGATTCGAGTAACTCGGCTGCCATAAGTGTTTCTAAATCCAAATCAGTTGGGGAGCTGCCTTCTTTGCAAGGTGAAATTTACATAACACAAAATTGGCCATTTTTAAATGAACAATTCAGTGGCACGCAGCACACTGATAACATTGCGCACCACCCCTGTTGTGAAGCTCTGAAACATAACACCCCAAAAGGAACCCAGGACCCATTAAGCACGTGCTAGCTCTCCACCCCTCCTCTGCCCTGCTGGAGCCACCAATTTATTTTCTCAGTGGATTTCTTATCCTCCGTGCTTCATATAAATGGAATCACAACTTGTGCCCTTTTGTGTCTTGCTTCTTTCACTTAGCATACTGCTCTTTGTGTCCCTGTCCAGTGTGTGCCTGTGTGCATGTGTGTTCGTGTGTGTGTGTGCGTATGTGTGTGTTCTGAAACTCAAAACCAGAGGCACTGTACCGATGAGCTACATATGGAACTCCTTTTATTTTCTTGACACAGGGTCTTGCTAGAGTTGTCCGAGTAGGGCTTGAACTTGCAATTTAAACCTGTGCCGTCACAAATGGCTTTTTCTTTTTTTTTTAAGCCCAGGCCAGCTTCGAACTCATTAAGTATCCCAGGGTTCCCTTAAATTTTTTATTCTTGGAGTGTTGGGATGGTAGGCATTCACCACTGAGCCCAGCTAGCATACTCTTTTTCAGGTTTATTAATGGAGCATTTATCAGTAGTTCCTTAATTTTTTTTTATAGCTAGACAATATTCCATTTGTGGACATGTGGACTGTAGCTACCTTTTGACTAGTGTGAATGCAATGGGCATGGTTCTGCAGAGGGCTGGTGGCAAATTCTTGTTAAATAATTTGGGAGGCTGAGGCAGGGGGATGCAGGTCAGAGCCCAACCTGGACAACTGTCTTAGCAAGAGCCTATCTCAAAACAACAAAAAATAAATAAAAGCACTGAGGATGTAGCTCTGTGTGAAGGCCCTGTGTTCAATCTCCAGTAACACACACACACACACACACACACACACACACACACACACACAGAGTTATTCAAGATCAGAGTTAAGAAAAAAAACCCACGAGTATATTCAGATCAGAGTACACTATCAAGAGGGCCAGCAGGTGAGTTTCCAAAACAGCAATCACACCATCAGGGTGAATGACCAGGAGTTTTAAAAGGGACTGAAGATGTGAGTCTCAGCGAATGTGGCTATCTCAGAAATTCATTTTGCAGGGCATTCTGTTCTCCTTATTCCAGAAACCCGGACACTGTATCTGAAGTTGCACATCAAAGCAAAAACTTGACAAAGTTGTTTACTGCGGCCTCAAAGAAGGCCCCTTCTCTCTGGGAGAGAAAGATTTATTTTTATCTCTCACTGTTTTTGATCAGTGTTGGTGCATTATTTTATGACCGGTTAGTACATGCTGGGCAGGATTACTTTACAGTGGGATTTTGCTGCTGGGTGTTTTAACCCTTTTGTGGCTGACGGATAATCACCACAGTGAATAGTGCTGCTAGGATCCTTCACGTTCATACAGTTGCAGAGCTCAGAAACTGCACAGGTCTCTCAGCCCCACTTTAACCCTCTAATCAGAAATGCTGTGCTTCAAGCCAGATATTTAAATTGTAAACAGACATCCCAGAAGATTCTGGTAGTTTGAGAATCATTCTGCTATAGTTTGGAGTGGGAATCAGAGTTTGGGTAGAGGTTAAAAAAGGTATCTCTATCACTGTACAGGTACAGGAAAGGAACGAATTATACAGGTGATTGCCAAGATGCTTTTAAAATTAAAGCTTGGCTTTTGAAATATTGATTGGATAATCTCAACTTTTTGTGAGGTGAGGATAACATTATAATCAAGCTCAGCAAATGACAGCAGAAAAAATAATGGCCAAAATGACTCACAAACATATAATGCTACAGTCCTGACTAAACCATTAATAAATCAAACCCACCAGTGTATAAACAGGTTTAGTTTATCCCATTAATGCAAGCACAGTTAACTTTGCAAAATCTATCATAATTCATGACAGGAAGACATTGAACTAAAATAAAAATGTTTACCCAACCAGAGCCATGCTTTCCTTACTTCATGTTATTCTGTGACATGAAAACTGGCCTCTATGTTTACCCAGTGAGCCTTGTCCTTTTTCTTTTCTTTTTTTTTTTTGTACCAGGGATTGAACTCGGGTCTTTGCGCTTGCAAGGAAGGCCACCAAAACACTGAGCTAAATCCCAGGCCTAGCCTTATCCTTCTTTTCCAGCTGGGTTCAGGCAAAAGGAACCAGAGGATGAGGCATCAGCATAATGTTTGTATTCCCTATCTACAGACAACTTCCTATAGAAAGCCCAAATTTCCCAATTAGAGATTTTCTCCATTTTGCTAACACTGCTCCCTCCTCTCACCCAGTTATAACTAATGGTAGTAATATCACCCAACAATTGCTTATTTGATCCCTTCACTGGACCCACTCTTTGGAAAATAGTCTCTATATTAAACACTCTACAATTAAACTTTTGAAGATGGTAGGTATCTGGTGCTTGTAAGAACACTGAGTGATGACCAAATTAATGGATAAAAATCACAATCTATCAATATTTGCAGAAAACAATTTGCATAATATTAGCCCACTCATATTTTCAAAAAGGCTATAGCAAGCATGAAATAGATTATTAAATCACCGAAGAAGCCGTACTGAACCTTTGAAAAATATCATATAGAATGACAAAACTGTATAAGGATTCCCACTAAAAACAGGATTAAAACATAAGAACTTTTATGGCTACTAATATTCAACATTATATTAAAAGTACTTGCTAGGGATTTGTCCCCCCAAAAAAATAGATGAAATTTTGAAATCACCTCAGACAGTTTTGCCAGTAGTTGTGGATGCCATGCTATTCTATGTAGAAAACCTAAGATAATCTACAATCAAGCTACTTATGAATTAAGAGTTCTCCAACTTTGGTTTCTACTGTTTTACTGCTGAAAAGTATCTATAGAAAAC